CCCCCCCCCCCCCCCCCGCCCACCCGAATCTACCCTTTCCTTCGTGTTGTTTATATAATCCTTCTACGTTGTCTCGCTGTCTGTCTGGCTGGTTTCCCCCCCTCTGCAACAGCTACTGGACCATCAAACGTAAATTTGGGTCAAGTTTTTGTAAGCATAACGTATACCGAACGCCAAACCATAACCCAAAACCCAAAACCCAAAACCCACAAAAAATAGGGAACTACACCAAAACCGAAGCTAGAACCGGACCCAAACCTATTCCATATGCACCAATACATCTTTATGACTGTTTTGCAATGTTATTTTGTTGTGTGTGTGTGTGTGTGTGTGTATTTGCCTTATATTATTCCCTTATCTCTTGTGTGTGTGTGTGTGTGTGTGTGTGTGTGTGTGCGTACTCCCTTTCGGATAATTTAATCTTTTGACTGTCGCACTGAAGTGTTCTTCACAAACCCCACGAAAATACCTTGGTTGCCTTTCTACTCGTCTCGCTCTCTCGCTCTCACTCTGTCTCTCTCTCACTCTCTCTTCTTTGCTCTCTGTGTTTTTTGTGTTTACTTATTATTATCAATTATTTTTCATTATTTTTGTTTTCCTTTTGTTAGCATTTGTGTCCAAAATGTTTATATTAACAAAATTATAGCTTTTGCGATTTCTCACTTTTACATTGGTTTTGGTTTTGTTTTGTGCGTTTTGTAACCAAAAAAAAAATGTTGAAAAAATTACCAAAAAAAATGAGTTTTTTTCATTTACGTATGGATATAAAATAATTTCGTTGGATTTGGTTGATTATTGTTGTAGTTTGTTGTTTTATTTGTTGTTCCTACATGTGCACCGAACGCGTTTTTGGACTGGATTCTTGGATTCGCTGCCCGCTGATGTCCGTTTCACGTTCCGTTTGTTTAGCGGTCAAATGAACGACTGAAAGCGCTCTGCACGGTTGCTACTATTCGACGCACACGGACTACGGTGCGGAGTCTCTCCCTGAATGTTTGTACATGTGTGTGTGTTTGTGTCTCGCAGGCCATCAACAAATGGAGAACTTTTTACTGCTGATATTCTCCTCAATGGGGGCCCCGAGGTGTGTTTCTTGGTCACTGCTGAGAGAGAGCG